ATGTTTTTCCTGATTTAAAGATATAGTTATATATATACACACACTACAATTACAATTTTATAAAATCATTTAAAGTATTTGAATTTTGTAAATACCTCCTAAAATGGTAAAGAATTTGGATGATCATTATAGAATCTTAATATTCTATTCGAGTTTAAAGATAGATGATGTCAAATGCCAGACAGCTGAGCTGGTCTGCATCAATTAAAAAAATATAAATTTCCAAGCAACAGAACAAATACTTCTGAGGACACTTGAAAAAAATCCCTCTGAAAGATTTCACCCTCCCTACTTCTGCATTCTCAGTCTCCCTCATGCAAGTTTAATTTATGCAGTGATAGATATCCTGAGAGATGGAAGCTGTATTACAGATATGGAGATAAAATAATCCCTAAGTGAGAAGAACCAGTTTGGTCTCAATAAGACTATACTCAGCACTGCAGGTAAAATAAATTTCATTAACTTTGTTAGTTAGCATAAATATTAACTTTGCCAGTTAGCATAAATCTAAGCTTTCTGATTAAAGTACTAGTTTGTCAGAGAATCAGACTCTCCTCATCTGGTAACAATCCAATACAATTTAATGACAGTTTTCCAGAGTTAGGAAAATTATCTCTTCATACACTCCCTTTCAAAGCAGATTTGCAACTCTCTTTCTTAAGTTTTTGTGTTTGTGCCATCTCGTCTCTCCTGAACCATTGGCCAGGTCACATTAAGATTTTGTTCTTCAACTTTCCAGCAAGGAGACACTGAGCATCATGAAATATGTCATATCGTGGGGCCTTTCAAATGAGACCAGGGAAACTCAGCTCCTGCTCAGCAATGATTTGAAATAACCTAATCCTATAAAATGCTAAATCACTCTGGCAAAGTTCCTGAAATCCCATTCCTCTGGATATCAGCACTGACTTATGAGGTATCACAGTTTGCCAAAGATGCACCATGCTCACAGGGGATCTTTTCAAGCCCTCCTGCCCTAGTCCTACTGCAGCCTAATTTGTGGCATGTTTCTGAGACACTTCCAGAAACCGCTGAGGTGCAAAGGGCAGAAGAATTGCAAAACTCAATCCATCTTTTGGCAAATACAGTGGAAAAAGCCTGCATGGTCTTTACAAAAATAGGATCAGTTTTCTGGACACCAGGAGGCATTTGTGTCTGGTAGACTTCCAAATTTTGGCTTTGTATTTCAAAAGCATTTTTGAAATAATTCAACATATAGCCCTACACCACAGGGTAAGATCTCAGTCCTTCACAAACACAGCTATTCTGCATGGGAGGCTGAAAGCACTAGATTTTATCTAAGACAACCAGCCCTGACTACCTCTACTCCTTGCAAGATGTACTCTGCACTCAATGCACAAATCCATAAAGATCCTTTCCTATGGAATGGAAGTGCTGGGTCCCAGCTGTAGGCAAAGTGCAAGAGTATTTGTGCTTGAAGTAGAAACTGTGCCTTTTTGAAACAAAGCACGCTGCTGCTTCGACTAACACTACCAAAATGAGATTCACAGACTTCTGCCCCAAGGAGAGAACACAAGGGAGAATAAACGCAGATGGCAACAATCAATCTCCTCACTCAAAGAGCTACCAAAAAAGCCATTTGAGGTGACAGCAATAAGGGCAAAGCAAGGCCCCACACAGATCAGAATAGATGTGTGCATATATACTTGTGTATATATTTATAATAAATCTCTTCTTTTTAGGCTCTTTGTTCAACTGCATTATCAAAAAGAGGTTTTAAATACAAGCTTATGGGACTACTAAAGAGGTGAATTTATGAATGTATTCCTAACAAAACACACTCTGGAAAGCTTTAATCTATGAATTGTGACAACCTTGGACAAAATGGATTTTTAATAGAATATAATGTAAACGGCCTGAAACATTGTGATAAGGAATTTTTTTTTAAGTAATGCACAGAAAAGGCATGATGCACTCTGCATGAAAGGAGGAAAGGTCTTAATTTAAAGCATTTTAATGAATACTCAATTTGCGTAGGGAAATGTGAGAAATGGAGATGAAAAACTGACGATACCGATAACACTGCAGAGGGGAGAAGGAGAAAGATTAGAAAAGTAAGCAAATTTGAAAAGGCTCCAGCCGGTAACACTGGCTAAAAGAAATGCAGACTGGATTACAAACGTGTCACAGTCCAAAGCCACTGTTCTCCTTGCAGGCAGTGTCTGTCATTGGCTCTTATCAGAGCTGCACACTGGGGAAGAAAGAGCAACTGAAGTGCAAAGCAGAAGAGAACAGACCTTTCTCCAAGCTAAGGGCAACAAGGGTAGTCAGAGATTTCAGCGAATGCAGCTGTGACTTGTTGGAGTTTCTCACTTTTACCGAACCTCCCAGAGCTGTACCAGCCCAGCCAGCTTGCAGGGCTGCTGGGGCTCTTCCATACCCTCACAAAGCTCAAGGCAGGTTGCAAAACCATAGCAAACTCGGCCATCACATCCTCAGAGAAAACTATCTGGGCTCAGAGGCTCAGTCCTGGCTTACCCACTTCGCTACTAGCAGCGTAACACCAGACAAATCAGCAGAACTGAAATTACTTCCAAGAGAGAAAAAAATCAAACAACAACCAAAAAAAAAAAAAAAAAAAAAACCCACACAAAAAAAAAAATCTCCCCCGAGGTAAATACAATTCTGTTTACTAATAGCTTCTGCTCTGCAATGAAATAGATTGATCCTGCACTCTCATTCATACGTAAACTGCCTTTAATGAAGCTCCTTGAATTACTAAAAAGAGGAACAGATGAATCAGGTCTAGTGACAGTTTTGCCACATTGACCTTAACAGAAACAAGTTCAGGTCTCTGCTCATTTAAATGAAACAGCAGAACCCCCATATAAAGACTTAACATTCTTCAAAAGAATCAAGAGGGCCACCATTATGACCAAAAAAAGCAAATTAAAGTAAAATCAAAGTTAAATATTTACTCTAAGCACTACAATATTTGCAAATCTGGAAACGATCTTTCAGCAGTTTCTATTTGCATACTTTAATTAATCCAAAAATATTAAACTAATCTCACAAAGGAAAGGGTCAAAGTATTAATTAACTTGAGATTCGTTGCTTTTGTGCAATTTAACAGTTCAACACAAAGCAAAAATCAGTTTTAATAAAAACTAAGTTACTGTGACAGGTATAATTTCATGCATTAGTGAAACCACGTATAAGGCAATAAATTTCAGTGTTCATCCTATTTTTTGTCTAACTTTAAAAATAGTTCTTTATATTTCAATATAGAGATTCCTCATTAACACCTAATGATGTGAAGTTTTCCTTTAACCTCACCATTTCACTTTCACGTTGATGGCTTTCCACCTTGTTCTGAACAGAACAGAGGTCACAGTTGTTTTAGCAAAAAAAAACTGACTGCAGCGTTCAGCAAAGAGCGGATACTGCACAACCACCCAGATCAGCTGCCTGAGCTAATTCAGGTTGAGATTTTGCTGCTGGAGCCACCACGTGTCATCGTGCAGCTCCGGAGCAAGCGTGAAGGTTCCCCTCTGACCCAGCCTCTCTGCTGGCTGAGCTCTCACCCCACCAAAGGGACTCACTGGCTTTTTAACAGCTTCTGAAGAAACTGGGAAATCTTGCCAAAAGACAAAGGATTTAGAGACAAAGCATACAGTGCCAAATCCAGCTGCTAGAGGTCTGCTTTATCAGTACAGTAGCCCATGAAACTCCAGCAAAATAATGATGGAAGGTGGGTAGAATTTCCTACATCACAACCTCAGAATTGCAACTTTGACAAGGGTGCTTATGAAACAAGAGGGAACTCCCCATCGCCACCTTTTTTTTTTTTTCTTTTTTTCTTTTTTTTTTTTTTTAAATGAGGAAGTGAATGAAACAGATAATGAACTGAAAGGTTTGCCTGGCATTTCATGCCAGAAAGCTCTGTAGCACTTGACTTAACCAGAGACAATGAGCAGGGAATCACTTCCCCTCACTTCGCGTGTTTACAATGCAAATGTCTGCGTCCCACTCAGTCGCCTCCGTTCTGCAACTTTACTGGAGAGAAACAGGCACTTTTCATTTGCTATTCATCAGGCCTGTTTTACACACCCAAGAGGACTCTCACCTTAGCAGTGCCTATTTATCCCTGTTGCTAAAAAGCAAACTCACGTTAAAGAGCTTTCACCTCAACACTCGTATCACAGGTACCCGGAGCTAGATAGGATTCATTTATTCCTCAAATACGGCTTCAGAAACTAAACAGAGTAGAAACTCTCTTTGCACTCCAAGCCTCTTCCTAGGTCTAACCAAGTACTAACAACCATTTTTCTCCCTTCTATGAGCTTTTGAAAAAAGATGGATGCAAAAGACACCCCCTAAAAAAAATTTGACATAAAGTTTGTTATTTCCTAATTATGATACAGTTGCAAGCTAAATTTATGCACAGTGTACTTTAAGTGTAGAGTAACTGCGTGATAATGGAGAGAAATTGCTTGGATTGTGAAATACATAATTCTGACTAAAAATGTAAGTTTCTCATTACCTTTGATATAGCTTGTGGGAGCATTACCATAACAAACATACACAGCATTCATGAGACAGTTCATAGACACTCATAGGTGTTTTGCAGCAATAATGAATAACACTTAATAGCTATTACTTTCATAGCTTTTCAAATAAAGAAGACAGCATTGTCCTATGTTGCTTTCAATTATTCTTCATATTTCTCCATTTAAATCCATTTATTTCTGCTGGCTCTTTGGCAACAGGAATTCTCCTGCTGCCCTGAAGGTGCATGAAAAGCAAATGCAAGCCAGGACTAGTTGGCTGCCTCCAGTTTAATTAGATAATCTACTTCCAAAGCTCATAAGTGAAACAAAAGGAAAAACTCTCATCAGATCACCTATAGCTTTTCCAAGGAGGCTGAGGAAGAAAAAATACTACTATTAAAAGAGCAATATGACTCATTAAAGAAGCTGTTGTATGTCTCTCACAGTATTTTAGCAAGGGTTAATGCACAAAAGCATTTATCAGCTTACCTGTTCTCTGCATTTGGGTCGTTGTGCATACATGTGATCGTGGCAGTGGTCCTCGCACTGTCCGTCTCTTCTTGAACACCCCACTGGTCTGCATCACTGACTCTGATGTCCATGATCTTCACACCTGGGGCTGTCCTAATTCTGTTGGGGAACAATAGGGATTGCTTTAGTTACAGACCTCCCACAAATAAATCCAGAAAGGTAAACAAGGAAGATGAAAGGAAATGTTCCCTCTTCCATTAGTAATAGACTGATACATTGCAACTGTTAAGTCACTCTGCTTTAAAAATATAAAACAGGTCCAATCATTTTAAAGAGATGAAGTATGAGTTTCATTATGCGCAAAGCCAGTTAATTTTCATCTTGAACAATGTGGAGGGAATAAGAATGCTTTCTGCTTCAGCAGCACCAGTTTGATATAAACACAACAGATGTGACTAAGCATAAGTTGATTTAATTTGTTGTGTCTGTCCTGCAGTTTAAGATGGAGAATCAGAGCACGGTGATATAAAATATATCCTCCTGCTTGCAAACCTTTGGGAGCAAGGTGCCTTTTAATATTATGGCAATCTTAATGGAAAAAATGCATTTCACTGCTCAAAGACCATAATGCAGGAAGGAGATAGAAGTTATATGTTATCCTAGATTCAGGATTGAGGGATGAAAATAATTATGCCATTGTACTGGAATCTGTCAAACTGGGCATGTCAAACTCTTGATGCTGAAAATAATCTGATGCTGACATGGAAAACCTTGATTTCCTAAGCATGACTAGAGTCTAAAAGCAGTTCGGTAGTTGGTAAGTGTCACCATTTTTTGCTTTAAAAAAAAATTTGCTAAAAAAAAAAAAAAATAAAGTCTATGCTCCAGTGGGGCTCAGCATGGGAACAGATTGCCATGGACTAGGAAAAAAAACTGCTTTTAATAGCAGGGATTTCATTTGTGCAGCTTGACTCCTAAAACAAGGCTGGGATTTTGACAGGAGGGCTGCAAATATGCCTGGAGAACAATTAGGCAGAAAGCAACTGCTGTAGCGCCACATTCGCCACTACTGTGACTTAATTAATTAAAAGCAAAGCCAAGAGGGACCTCTTAGTTGTATGGTGGAATGAAACAGCACTGCTGAGACTTGAAGTGTTACTTAACAGTGAATTGTGACGGATTTGCCCTGATGCCTCGTGGCCACTTGGTGCTCACATTACACTATTAAGAATTTCCTTTAAGTTCTAGCTGAGTTCATGGGTTTGGATCAAAGTAGCTTCAAGACTCAGTGGGTGTTTTTTCCTCTGAGAAGTAATTAATTCATCCTGCTTTTATGATATCCTTATTTTTGCCTGTAAGGCTTTATTGACTTGATAGGCCAAATTCTTGCCCGGCATAACCAATCTGTTGAAAAATGTTTCCTGTAAGGAGAGAATTTTACTTGATATTTCTCTAATTGTCTCCTTTATGTTTCTCCACAGACATTCATATCTCCAGACAACATGCCTCAAAGTTTATGTGCCCCTCCCTTTCCTATCATCTCCTCTTCTTTTTTCAGAGGAACATTCATTTATTCTATAGCAATTACACTGGACCAAATAATTCCTGCAAGACACCTCCATGGCTTCATTTCAGACTGACTTGTAATGTACATGAGATAGAGAATTAGGCCTTCAGGAGCGGTTTCAATAATTTTTTTCGTTAGACTTAGTCAACCACTCTTGAAAAAAAATCATTAGGGCCTGACAAAAAAAGAAAAAACAAACCACACTGCTTTTAAAATTTTCTCTTTCCCAGCCAAAAATTATATTTTTTTAACAAATTCGCCTCCCCACCACCCCTCAATTTCCCATGTTTTTCTTGACAAGTCTAGAAACCTCTAACCTAACTTTCCACCCAAGTCAAATCCCTGGCTAACTAAAGGTTAATTAAAAGGCAGGAGATGCTGGGGGGAGCAGGGGTCAGAACAGCTGGATTTCACCCATGATTTCAGGATTCATCAGCCTTTTTCCATCTGTCAGAAGCTTGTTATGTCCTCCTACACTGCTTTTGCACTCATCTTTGCTCTGCAGCATTTACTTTCATCTACTCTGATCAGAATCTAGCAGGTTGGTTCACCCCAACAAGGATGAAAACAGACATGGGACAGTTCTTTGCCACACCTGAGCAGGCTTTAACCGTGCAGGACCCCTGTGCAGATCCATTACTCATGGAAGCTGAAGCTGCTGCTCCTCTCTACCTCCATCAGTGGTCCTCACACACACTGTAGGGGTAAGGATGCAAGAGCGTCAAATATCCACATCTATCTACATGCCCAGCTGTTCCAACCTCTCCAGACACTCTGCACCCCAAAACAATGGCTTTCCTCTTGCGCTAACCCCTCAGCTATGTCTGCTTTCCTCAGTCAGGAAGCTTTGCTGTTTCTTCTCTTGTGTCTGAATACAGCTACAGGATGCTTTTTGCCTGTCTGGATATCAGATGAGACTCTCCCAAATGCCTGTCCTGTTGGCTCACCACTTGACTTCTCCTTCAGGGCACTGTCCCTTAACAGGAGGCCTTCTGGTTTTCAGCAATGCTGTCTTGTTGACTGTGCCTACAGCTTTTGCTTGCTGTGTATCTACTGTCTTGCTGGGTTAGCATCAAGTGAACATCGCATACTCTGCTCCCCAGCTACATTTTCCAAAAACGTCTCAGAACGCTGCATTTTAGGAAAATTTCCAGTCTAATCCCCTGCAATGCATCTGCTCTGGTGGGCTGAGACAAGATGTCATTTTGCATTTTTGGATATCAGTAGAGCCAGGAAGGTTGAAAGAAGGAAGAAACTGAATTCAGCTTCTCACTTAGGAAAAGTCAAGAAATTCAAATTAAACCAGCCTACATATGGGAGGTTTGAGCCTACTGTTCTTCAGATAAGTGATTCATATCTTTAAATCTGCCCCCAAACTCCACAGACACAAAAATTATCGTGTTTGGGACTTTGCAAAAGAATAAGAAATTCCTACCAGAGCTGACATTAACTGGAATAAGTATGGCTAGTGTGTGAGTCTGGGTGCTGGGTTTATTGTTCTGCTCTGTGCCAGGCTTCAATTATAACTTTGGATGGATCATTTTCCTATACCTCCTTTCCCCACATATAAAATACTGGAAAATGCTGCTCTTCCAACTCAAAGGGAGCTGTAAGGATAAATAGAATTGCTTGAGAAAAAATCTGATGTCCTTGAAATTTACCAGCTGACAAAAATTCTTCCACTTCTGTGCTTGAAAACATGAAAACTACCTACTAAAGTATTTCACAGAAGCATGACCCAAGAAGTAACTGTTACCGCTGTTGTGTTTAACCCCGCGGGCAGCTAAACCCCACACAGCCAGTCGCACGCTCATCCCAGTGGGATGGGGGAGAGAATCGGAAAAAAGGTAAAACTCATGGGTCGAGATAAAGACAATTTAATAGGTCAGTAAAGGAAGGGAAAATAATAATAATGATAAAAGAATATACAAGTGATGCACAATGCAATTGCTCACCACCCACTGGCCGATGTCCAGCCAGTCCCCGACCAGTGGGCTGCCACCCCCCCGCCAGCTGCCCCCAGAGTTATTGCTCAGCATGATGCCATACAGTCTGGGACATCCCTCTGGGCAGTTGGGCCCAGCTGTCCCAGCTGTGTCCCCTCTCAGCTCCTTGTGCACCCCCAGCCTTCTCACTGCCAGGGCAGCATGAGACGCTGGAAGGTCCTCGACTTAGTATAAGCACTGCTCACCAACAATTTAAACATCAGTGTTATATCAACATTATTGTCACCCTAAATCCAAAGCACGGCACTATATCAGCTACTAGGAAGAAAATTAACTCCATTTCAGCCGAAACCAGGACAACCATTAAGATGGCTTAATTCCTTTTTTATAAAGATAATTGGGAAATGGAAAAACCAAAACAAAAACAAACAAAAACCCCAAACTACAAAACATGAAAGCTAGTTGGAAATTTGGCAAAACTCACATTTCATTTCCATTAAATACTTTCTGAAAAGCAGAATTTTTAGACAAAAAACTGTCCTGTTAAAACTTACTAGCCTACCTTTAAAGCATTACAAACTATGTGGTATTTTGATAACATATTTAGCAGAGATGTAAATGAGACAGAGGAATACCAAATGAGATCACCTGAAGCTAGCCTGCAACAGGGCCCCCAGGTTACAGCCTGTATCAGAAATGATATGAACCCTGTTTCTAATACACTCTTCTTTAGGGGTGGGGAGGGGGTCCAACATGAAGGTGACACCCTCAAGCACTGCCTTTTGTGATACTTATGCCCATAAGATCTTAGGAGGGGGTAGCTGGGACAGGTAGGGGGCAAAAAGTGGCAAAGCTACCCAAAACAGGGAATCAGTGAAAGAACTGCTTCACGAGTAAATTTAACCCTCCTCTCCAGCTATAAAGGCAGAATAGAGGAAGTTGCTTTCAATTGAGACTGCAGAATACATTCGGTATCTCTGACAATGTTTTCTTCCCTGAACAGTGTGTCCTCCATTTACTGTAGAATATAAAGATGGAAATATGATAGACTGAATGAAGCAGGCAAGCAGAAGCGTCCCCAGTCTGCCAATTTGGAACGACCAGGAACTATTTTAAAATGCAATCCCAGCCTTAAATGTATGCAACCCCATGAATTCGGCCACTCTAAACCTCTCCTCTCAGTTATTAGAACAGAAGGAAAGGAGAAGGTATGAGTAATCACCAGGGCTGGAAAGTAACTTAGGGGATGCAAGAGCGATTTCAATAGCCAAGCACTTAGCAGAAGTGGTGCAGGGACTTCCATTGCCTCCCAGTCAATTAACTGCAAAATCTGAAAGGTAAATGCTTGCTTGCAATACACCCCCAGCAACACTCCCGGCAGCAGTAACTGGGAAGTAAAATCCTGGCAAAGGGAACTTTAAAATAGAAACAGAAGGAAAAGATATTTGGGAAATAAAACAGGAATGTGCTCACAGCAGATGGAAAATGCTCAAAATGATGAGAAAAAAAGGCTGTTTTCAGAGCTATTTTAGAAATCCTCTTATCTTTCCCCCATCCCCATTATGAGGGAAAACATGATCTGAGCTAAATTCACTCTCAATGACGTACTAATAATAACAGTTATGATAATAAATTTCATTTGTAAT